ATATAATAATATAATAATATTAATATATATATATATAGATATTTATTATAATATATATATATATTATATATATATCATTGTAAATTCTGTTATCCTTTGAAATAAACAATTTATGACAAAAGTTCCAGAATTTATTATTATATTCTATATTTAACAAATTATAGTAACAGTATAGCAATATTATAGTAACTTTTTAAAAATACATAATTATAATATTGGTTATTGTAATATATAATTATAAAATATACATTATATATTATATTTATTATATACATTAATATATATAACAAATAATTGAAAATATATTAAAAACTGAACACAAAACAAAAATTAGATATTTTTATGTAAAATTTTTTATTTATTTATACTTTTAAAATTTATTCCTTGCAATTCTAAAAATTATATATTCTAAAAATAATATTTCTATCTCAGATTTTTGAAGAATTAATGATTTATTAAATGGAAAAATGGATCATTAAATGGAAAATTGTTCTAAAATAAAAAGGAAATTATATGATTCATTTTTAAAATTCAATTTTAAAAAAATATATAGATTTTGAATTATATATAAAAATAATGGATTTCATGTTTATTTGAATATTCATTATATAATTCCATTTTATAATTACAGATGATAATGAAATGAAACCAGTTTATGGTTACCCTCTGGAAGAACATCTCAGAGTCACTAATAGAAAAATTGCATTACCTATTCAATTATGTGTATCTGCATTATTAAGATTAGGTATAGAAGAAGAAGGTCTTTTTAGAATAGCTGGCGCTGCATCAAAATCACGACGAATTAAATTAAGTTTAGATGCATGTTGTCTTACATTACCAACTGCTCTAGAATATAAAGATCCACATGTTATTGCTGGTGCATTGAAATCTTATCTTCGAGAATTACCAGAACCTCTTCTAACATACAAGTAAATATAAATATATATTTATTAATTATATTTATTAATATAAAATTAATATTACAAAAATATTACTATAATGATAATATATTATAAATATTATTATAATATATATATATATATATATATATATATATATTATAAATATTATTATAATGAAAAAAAATAATGTTATGTATATTCATGTTTTTATTTTATATTAAAGATTATATCCTGAATGGATGGCAGCTGCAAAAATAACACAGAATGAAACAAGATTAAGAGCTCTTTGGGAAGTGTTACATAAATTACCATCAGCAAATTTAGAAAATTTACGGTTCCTAATCAAATTTTTAGCTATACTCACTAAAAATCAAGATGTAAATAAAATGTCACCACAAAATATTGCAATTGTGATTGCACCTAATCTAATATGGAGTCCACAAGAGGATGTAAATACAATGGTGTAAGAATCTATTTTTTTGAATAATAAGTAAAAAATATATTATTTATTTATATAAATCTTATAATTAATTATTAAGCAATAAAACAAATTATAATATACAGCCATACTACTATTAATGGTCCAGAAAAAAGATTTTACATCAAAAAAAAAAATAAGTTGAAAATATAAAATAAAATTTTTTTATATGATGTTTTATTTTTAAGAAAAATCGATTTTAAATGTCTGCAGAATTCGATTATATCCTAATTATATAAGTGCATTTGATTATGTTTTGATCTAATATATCTCGCTGTAGGTTACTTTTTCAGTTCAAATTTGTGTTTATTGTATTGGATAATCAAGAATTTATAATAAATTTTATTATTCGATAGAAATGTTTGCTATTTTGTTAAATATATAAATATGCTCTAAATGCTTCTATCATGTTTTTTTTTATTTGTTGTTCTAATTGTTTAAAAATATAAAAATATATATTATAAAATTAATTCTTTCTTTTAATTAATCAAAACTAATAATTTTAATTAATAATAAAACTAGCAATAGAATAAACAATTGATTTAATATGAATTTGATCCATAAATAAAAATCAAATGACGTGAGGAAATTGTAGTGAAAAAATTAAACTCCATCATAAGTAATCTAAGTTTTAAGAAAATCACATCAGATCAATTATTTATTCTAAAAAAATTCTAAAGGAAACAATGATGAATATTTTCAATGATTTTTGTAATAATAAAATTTATTTATATAATAAATTAATATTTGATATTATTGTGTTCTTAATTATCCAATATAATAAACACAAATCTTAATTATTATTATAATAAACACAAATCTGAACTGAAAGAATATAGCAATAGATAAATTAGATCAAAACATAATTAAGTGTATTCGGCAAATATTTAAAATCAGATTTCTTGAAAACAAAACATCATATGAAAAAATTTTGTTTTATTATTTTTGATTTATTTTTTGATATATAATTATTTCTTTCAGATTATACTTTTAGTTACCGACTTATATAAATTATCATATATATAGAATGTTAATATTCGTGAAATATTTTTGAAAAATTGATTCTAGATATTAAAACAAATTCAAAAATTAATATACAAAATTATGATTTATTTATTAAGTTATAATAAGTTTGCATTAGATTAAATGAGACAAAGTGAGATAGTTTTAGTTTAGTCTCTGACATTGTTTTATTTTATTTTGATCTCAATTCATTCAATATAAATTTTAATTGCTTATAACTTAATAAATTATTTTTTATGCTAACTTTTGTTCTGTTTTGATCTCTAATCGATTTTTCAAAGAATAAACATAATGTATGAATATATAATTTCTACCAATATAATATTTATTATTTCAGAATGAACATGAGCACAGCTAATAACTCTAGTCTTATAGTTGATCAATTGATTACATATGCAGATTGGTTTTTTCCTGGCGAAATAGATTTTGATCGTGATTTAGAAGTTGGTATTATAAATGGTTCAGAAAATCAAAATATGAATATTCGCCGTTGTATCTCTAATAGTAGTCTTAGCGATCATGGTGAAAGTCCTCCACAAGGTAGTCCTAAACCTGCAACTCGTAGGAAAAACAAACCAGCTCCAACTCCACCAAATAATACTACTCCAGATAAACATGATAAAAAATCTGATGATAAACCACCACCTACACCTGATAAACCACCTAGACCTTTAACATCAGCAACTCTTAATCGTAAAATTCAAAAACATGAAACAATAAATACTGAATCAATTACTAAACATGACAATAGTACAGAAAAGCAAGATGGAAGTTCAGAAATAGAAGGTAAACAATGTAATGAAACGAATGCACTAGATTCTTCATCCTTTAACTATTCAGAATGCATTAATGAAGTACAAGAAGATTTACATAATGCAAATATTGAAACTGAAAAAATTAATCAAGAAACTCAAAGATATGAAAAAAATGTAAAATATGTTCCTATTGCTCTTGAAAGAAATACTATCGAAAATATATTGTGCAATAAATCTATTATGGAACTTGAAAATTCAGAAAATTCTATACATAAATTAAAAATAATACCAATTGAAAGACCACTTCCTTCCACAATAGAAAGAATACGTAGACCAATAGCTGCACCAAGAAGTATAACTAATATAGTACATAATACAGGTAAATAAATATTTTTATAATTTTTAAGAAAATATATAATATGAAATTTTTTTAACATATATTTTAATTTAAAAGAAGAAATAGTTGAATTACGAAAGAAGTCGGATAATAATCCTATTTGTACAAGTACACTTGACAGAAGTAGTAAACCAGCGATACCAGAACGTCCAGCTGGATTAATTAGACCTTCAAGCCTCATTAAACAACAACCACGTCACAGTAATGAAAACTTAGATTCTGAAACAGGGGTGAGTGTTAGGAGTTTTCAAGTATTATTTATTTTCAGTATTGTATGTAAGATAATTCTTTAAAATAAATGTAGTTACTGCCAGTGGACTCAACAAATATCACTGCCTGGATATTGCATTTTGAAATACAATAACGTAAGCTATAAATAAAGTGAAGAATCCAAACGTGTTAATAATTACTTTTATTTAAAATGTCAAATTGCATAATAATTTTTCATAATTATTAATATTTTTTTCCTTTTTAATAATCTATAGCCTTTAACTTTGGAAAGAGCTCATGTATATTCAGTGGACAAACAACAGGTCAGTATAATACAAGTGCGTGGAAATGGCAATGTGTTCTGCACCTCGGGCAACAACAATGGCAACGCGGCTTCGAACTTACAGAGAAGCCCCAGTGTAGGTAGTCGACCTTCATCTATGTCCTTGTATGGTGAACGACCGGAAAAGCCAGCCAAATTAAATGCTCCAGAACAAACAAAAGCTCATGTGCGAACAAGATCAGAAGGAAATATTATCGATGTGCAAACTCAGACTGAAACGGTAGTAGTTGTTAAAACTTCACCTCCACAACCTGTTCCGGCTTCTCCAAGATTTCATCAAAGGCCTCCACGGCCACAACCACCGCCTCCACCTCCACCCACCGCACGAATTAAATCAGAACATGAAAGTACTAATCTTTAGGATTAGCTGTAAAAAAGTGATTATTAGATTTATAAGAGAACTTTATAAGAATTAATATTTTTATTAAAAAAAATGAATACTATATATTTCTTATAAAATAATATAAAACTATGAAAAATTTCTGATAAAATAATACAATATCTCATATTTTAGTATTATGATTTTGAGAATTAAAATTGATAAGATACTTAAATAAAATTTTATTTTAACTTTCTAAAATTATGCAGAACATAAAATATATTTTTTTCTATATTTTTAAATGTTGGTAAATAACAAAAGCAAAAAATAAAATTTAAAATTAAATATTTCTAAATCTTATATATTAAAGATCAAGAAATTATGCCTAATTTCCATATTTAATTCCAATATTTTTGCAATTTATTAATTTTTATAATATTTTTATAATGTTGAAAATGATATATTATAAAAAAATTGGCTTTAAATTAATGTATATATTTTTAAACATATAAATTTCAGTATGGTTATTATGTAATACAAAATGAAACACATTTGGAATTATAATATATTTATGTTATTTATTTGTATCTATGGAATATATTAAATTCTAATGCATTTAATAAGATGATTACTTATAATAAAAGAATATAGAGAAAGGATGAATTCTTTAAATTAGTTTTAAGTTGTTAAAAATAATAATTTTGAATAAAATAATATCAATTAACTTCAATGTAAATAAATAAATAACTTTTGCGTGTATTTGTTTTACAAAATAACAATACTGTGATATAGAACTTATAATAGAAAATAATATAATACAAAACAATGTAGAATTTATAATACTACCAAAAATTATAACATGTTCAATTTTATTATTTAGCATCATTTATTTAGATTAAATAAAAATAATGTTTACTACAATTATCTAATTGTAAAAAACTTATTCTAATTAAAATGAAAATATTATTCTAATATATTAAATATAAAAATTGTTTTATATTTATTTATAAATGAAATATTTATATTGTGAATATTTTCAAAATTTATTTACAATATATTGAATTAATAAATTACATTTTTAAAATATTATTATATTTAATATTAAATTATATCATGAAAATACACATAGAATATTTTTTAATATTTTTTAATATGATAGTAAATATATGCATTGATAAATATATTGTATATAATAATATATTATATCTTTATATATAATTTTTTTTTAAAATATAATAATAAAAAATTTAATTTCATATTTTTTTTCTTATATGAAATCACCTGTATATTAAAATTGCAATTTAGCAAATTCTATTTAAACAAAATTGATTAAAAAAAAAAAAATAAATATTTATGTAATATATAATTTTAAAAAATTACTTCATATTTTGAAATAAAAGAAATCAATAGGTATGTAGAAAATTTTTTATATTTTAATTTTTTTATTTATTTAAAGAATATTTAATTTATAAAAAAAATAATTTCATCACATTATTTAGAGATTTATAAATTTATAAGATTTAAAAGATAGTTTTAAAAGATTTATAAATTTTTTTTTGTTTTATATATAAAAAAATTAAATCTTATTAATTAAGATTTATTTACATTTATGAAAATAATATATACTTTGTAATTATATTTTGCAAAACTTTTGATTTATTTAATGAAAATTTTGATTAAATACAAAAAGAAAAACTTGTATTTTTTTTCTCTTTATATAAAAAATAAAAATTATTACATACATAACTTAAATAAGTTCCCTAAAGAAATTAATGAAATTATATTATATAATTTTTATAAGATATTTATAAAATATTTGTAAAATATAAACATTTGATGATATATGTTAAATAAAAAATTTTAATGTACAATAAAAAACAAAATTAGTTACATATTTAATATTTTATGATTTTATTTATTACTAATATTATTAATATTTTTTGAATATACATAAAGTTGTAATTGTAAATGCATTTTTATAAGTAATATTTTATAAAAAAATTGCTAGATAAAATTTTCATTATAGTATTAAATATATATATATATATATATATATATATATATATATAATATTTAAATATTTTATAAACATAATTTTTTAAAATAAAAAGTGAGAATAGTTAATGAGATATAGAATTATTATTAAGTATTTACATACATATATTTTATTAAAAAATTGAATAAATAATTTTATGTATTTCATCAATCAATCAATTTTATTTTTAGAATTTATATTAAGTTACATATTAAATATTATTAGTTAAGCTAAACAAAACAAAAAAATAAAATCTAATGATATTATAAATTTTTTTGATGTAACAAATTATTTAAACATATTAATTTCTATATTATTTTTTTTTAATAATATATTTACATGACTGATATATATTAATTATACTAATGATTCAAATAACATAATATTATTTTTGTTTAAAATAATGATTTTAATTATGAAATCTTAAATATTTTTTATTATAGTAAATACTTAAATTTTTTATTTTCTTTTATTTAAAAATATTTGTAAAGTTTTCTATAATCAATTATATTATGTTATAAATCATACATTTATTTTATATTATTTATATATAAGAAATATTTAGACTGTGAATTTAATAAAAGTTATTTGATCTGTTTGTACATAAATAAAAAAATTATAAAAATAGAATTATAATAATATAAAATATAAATATAAATATATAAAATACCATGAAAAAATCATTAATTCAATTTATTAATATATATTAATAAACTTAGTTATTACATAATTAATATATTAGATATATTTATATTAATTTATATTAGATATATATGATTAGATATATTAATATTAATTATAATATACTTCTTAAATGTTCATCAGCAATATCTTTTGGTATCATACCATTATTATCTTTTATAGATTCAGCTCCAATAGAAATTAAATATTTTACAACATCAAGATGTCCACATGATGCTGCATAATGCAATGGTGTTTGTCCATCTTCATCTTGTGAATTTATACTTGCTCCTTTTTTAATTAATTGTTCTATAATTTTCAAATGTCCTCGATCTGCAGCCCAATGAATGGGTAATAAACCCTCTGAATCCATTATATTTATAAGATTTGGTTCTTTGTCTAATAATTCTTGTACTTTTTCTTCTTGTCCTTCTTTTATCCAATCCAAAAAAGTTTTATCCACATCATTTATTTCATCTTCCATATTTATAAACCGACTAATAGCAACCCAATTACTAGATTCAGATTGTACATTTTCTTCCCAATTAGGATTAAGTTTAGTTAATTCTTGTATATAATTATTCATAGCATCATCACAACTCATGTCATTAAGACCTTTCCATGCTTCCCATTTTTGTCTTGCTTGCATTTGATACCAATTAGGTTTTGAAATATTACAAGGCCCAATTGTAGCTTGCTTGTATAAAGCATAAAATTTTAAAAGTTCTGCAGAATTTAATTCTGAAGCCAATAACTGTAAATAATGCGTTGCTTTATTGAATGTTTTTTCAAGATTCATTTTTATGTATATTTTGATATATTATTAATAATTGAATTTATGTTATAATTTATGCTGTTTTATTTATTATTTTATCTATCTTATATTTTCAAACTGTTTAATATATTTCTCAAATAAATATTTAGTTACTTCTGTAATATGTAATAACTCGTCCTCTAAAATATGATTTTTACAAAGTACATTATTCATTTCTAATTTACTATAAAATTCTATAAATCCATGACCTGTACTTAAGCCATTTTTATCAAATATAACTTTTGTATTCTTTATTTTAGCAAATGTTGAAAAGTATTTTTCAAGTTCGTAACGAGAAATTGTCCATGGAATATTATGTATAAAAATCAAATATCGATTAATCATGGCAAAAAATATTTAAGCTGCACGTTGTATACTTAATAAATGAATTGTATGATCTTGCATTAATTCATGTATATTTATGTCAGAATCTGTGCCAAGTCCAGCTAATGATATATGAGTGCAGGTAAGATTCCATTTATTTAATAGATGTTCTATTGTCCAATCTGCACTTCTTTCTTGATAAGTACATAAAAATTTTGCATTTGGATTTCTTTCTAATAAGAATGCCACTGTAACAACTATATCTTCAAATAATGCTGGTTCATAAAAACAATCAGAACCAAGAATTAAATCTAATGGTCCAATTGAAAATAAACTAGATAAAAATAAGCCCCATGTAATACCAACAATTTGAACTTGAGATAAAATACCATTTAATTCACAACTTCTTCTTATATGTTGTAGACTTCTAGGAAAATTAGCAGAATCACTTAAAGTTACTATTGCACCACATTTACTAGCTAAAATTCCAGGAAGAGCTGTACCTGAACCAAGTTCCAACACTCTTTTCCCAATAAGCTCTTCTTTATGTTCCCAAAGAAACCAAGCTAATACAGGTGCTGAAGGCCATGTATAAAAATTATAATTAGCTTGAAGTAACTATAACAAAAACTATATATTATTAATAAAATATTAAACAAAATATATTTAAATAACTTATTTAAACTTTATTTATTTATTTATAATATAATTTAAAAGATTCAAATAATATTTAAAAATTTTTAACATTTTAATATTTTTTTATTAATTAAAATATAAATCAAATTACAAAATATTTACTTTATATTTCATAGAAAAATATGAATTATTATATAATATAATTTTTGAAATAAATATTTTTAAAAAATGTATAACCAAACTATGTGGTACACATATAATAATAAAAAATGATTAATAATAAATAATATAATTAATAAAAACTTTATTACCTCCGGGATATAAATCTCTAAATTTTCGTTACACTGTACGTTATCTTGAGTTTTACGAGAAGTAAACAAAAATTTTTTTATTTGCTCGGAAACGATTCCATCGGACATTAGGCTGTGCGTAGGTGGACTTATATCGCATGGAATACTTTCTTCTAAACCTGGCATGACTAATTATCAAGCCGTTTACACTAGTATCTATTCATTCTGATCGTAATTATAAAGTTGTCACTAGAAACCATAAATTTAAAATTTTCTTTATTTGCAAATAAAATCAAAGTTAAAAATATAATCACTATTTTGTCCAGAGTTGTCGATTCACAGTATATAATAGAAAATACAAACATATAAATAAATTTAAATTTTGAAATGGCGGG